GCCGGAAGTCAACGGTCAACGCCGGAGTCAACTAATAATTATTTTATTATTTAATTAATGTATATTTTAATTGATTTTGATCTAGACAAAATGAGTGGCTAAGATTAAGTCTCACGTACTCATTTCAAGGAGTGGTCTCATTGGATCTGTCCCTTATATATATATATATATATATTAGAAAAAGAAGGTTCCCTCTATAAATAGATAAAAGATATTGTTATACATATAGGACCAATAGACACATGGAAAAAGCTGCATGTACAACTTTTTTGTACAACATTCAATGACATGCAAATAAATGTATGGTTGAAGGAGAAATGCTACATTGCCAACTTAGTGTACAACTAGGCTGACAACACAAGTAAAAATCATTTACAAAAATAAAAATAAAAACAATACACAAGTGAATATTTTCACTTGTGTTGTCAACCTAGTTGTATACTAAGTTGGTCATGTATCATTTTTCATGGTTAAGATTTAATTTAATGATATTTATAGTTAATATTGTCTACTAATATTGTAAACTACAATATGTAGCATTGCCCTCGACACATGTATAATGTTGTGTGTGTAGAACGAAAATCTTCATAATAAATAATAATTTATTTTATTTTTTATATTATTAAATTTAAACTTTATTTAATTTTTAGTATAATCAAATTGACCAAGCCCTTGAATGTGCACGAGTAAAGTACAGCTAAAGAGAAGAAAGTTAATAATAGAAATATTAAAAATTTTCCAGGCAAATATCCCTCCCTATATCTTAATTCAAAATGTGTTGAGCCTAAGTGGCAGGTTCACATGCTTCGAATGCTGACATGACAAAAATCTATGCTTCGGAATGTTATTTGTATATTAATTTTTTTGCTTTGGAATTAGGCTTTGTATAGATATAAATAACTTTTTTCAAACTTGGTAAGTGTACATTTAATTATGTTATTTTTTTCTTCTCTTAGTACAAATTTTTGGGAAATCAACAATCTTACTATCTCATAATTTTCTATCATATTTCTCTCTTAAATTACAATTTACAAATCACTTTCTGCACTGTCAATTCCTCTCTTTTTTTTCATTATTTAGTCCATCAAATTAAATAAAATTTTTATTTTAACAGTAACTTTTATAATATATTTTTTAACTCAACACCCGTATAGTACACTTGTACTAGTTGCGACTTTATTTGGGAATCCGGTATTTCCTATTATAATTAAAACTTTATAAAAATTAATATTGCGCTCTATTATTTCTCATGGGATACTTAACAAAAAATATACCTATAATTATATCCAAATTACCATATATCAATTACAAATTATTAAATAATATGTAAAATTATAAAATTTAATAGAAAGCCAAAGTTTAAAAATTGCGTAAAATTTGTTGAGTTCTTACTGATTTTAAATATTATTTTTTTTTTAAAAAATAATAACTATTTAGTTTTTATCAAATTTTTTATACAATCAATATATTGCTAATGGGAGTACGCTCCAAATCTATATCTATATCCATGTACTGTTAAAGAAAAAATCTATAAATAGACTAAAAACCCGTATCACTTTTTTGTATTACTGGATAAATAAATACTAGTGCAACACCCGTGTACTACACGAGTAACTGTTAAGAGAAATATAGTCAAAATTAAATAATAATAGCAACAAAAATTATTTTAATTTTTATTTACTTTTTTTTTTGAAAAAATATTTTATTATTTATATTTAAAATGACATCGTCACTTACACGACTTAATTATTATTTTTAATTTTTATCAGATAACTACTTGTAGTTAAGTTAGTTTAATAATTTTATTTCTTATAAAATTAATAGGTAAATTAATTTTAATTATAAAGATAAATAAAATTATTTTCTATTTTAAATGAATAATATAGATGTTACATAGAAACTTATCAAGACACGATTAATTTCATATACTGTATATAGAAAAAAATTAGTAAATAACAAAATTATAAACTTTTAAATATTCTTATAATTTAAGTTAATATATTTGTTATAATTTTCAAAAATATGAGGAATAAACAAAGATTGGGAAAAAAACTATATCTTATAAACTACGGCTACAATAGGAAATGATAATTAATAATTAATACTCTTAAAAAAGACCATAAATATCTAATATTTTTATGGACATTCCAATTCTAGCTACTTTTGGATTGGAAATAAATTAAATTTATCCAAGCCAAACAAGAAAGCTTTAAAATTTACCACATATTCGTAAATTATTTATAAGGAGATTTTGATTACACTCAAAATTAAAATTTATTGATCATTTTATCTACTTTTCACATATAAACCAATATTTAATCATCATTATAATTTTTTTAATTCAAAACTCATAGTTGGAATAAAACTATTTTTTATATATTTATATGAAATATATTTTATTAATTTATTTATATATTTTAGATCGACATTGGTTGAATATGTTTTTTCATTTGTGCGACCATGTTAATATTTTTATTTCATGACAGCTCTTGTTTTTTTTATTAAATTATTACAAAAAAATAAATAAATAAATAAATAAACATTGAAAGAGTTACAAGTTTGGCAATGATGTTAAAAAATTATTATACATGAAGATGTGTATTTTGCGAGCTCGATTTATAAAAGAAAGTTCTTTTATGTTGCTTTATGCTCTCGATTTTTCTTATCTAATCATTTATATAGGAGTCGATTTTATATTATACATATGATATACATTGATCTTGTTATTTTAGGAATAGAGATGCATGGACTAGGAAAAGTGGCGTGTATTTTGAGGAGATCTTGCAGTGAGATAAAGAAGATATACTCTTACCATAATTCTTGGCACTTACCTTGGAAGGAAATCAAATAAAGGAAGGAAGATCACTTGGAGAAGACTCTACGCCTAAGGGTTGTATAAATACCTCTGTTGAAGATTGAAGACGGGTGCTGAAAATTGTCATTCATCATATACTCTTCAAGCTTCAAGATCGTTTTTGTTTTCTGTCATTGTTTAGCTCTTTAGTGTTCTTACGAGACTAAAGACTGAGATTGTTCGATTCTTGTTCCATTATTTTGATTCAAACGTTGTCATCTTCAAACACTTAGGGATTAAGTGTTGGTCAGAAAGTCCATGGGACGTGGCCGGAGAAATAGTTGGTAGATTCGAGCATAGTTGTGGCTAGGCTAGAAGAGAGTTCTAGTTGTTAAAAATTCAAACTATGTACAAGCGAGCTATCAATGAAAAAGCTCTGAGGGGAAGTGGGATGCTTCCCTGAAGAGTTTTATATCTTCGATTTATTGCTTCCGCTATTTTAAATATTTACTCGTGTTTTTACAACGTTGAGCGCACTCTCGCTAAATATATACATTTCAAACAACATGTATCACTTCGGCTGGTTGCATTTGTTGAAAATTTTCAAAATTGAATAAAATATAAGCTAAAAAATCAGCTAAGAATTATATACGAAATAATAGCGATGTGTATAAAACAGTTTTTTTAAATATGGAAATTTGAAATTTGTTATTATACATGTTTATTTAGTTGAGTGCCATTATAATGAAGAGGTTAAAATATAATGTATTGTTGATTATAACTTTCAACTATAGTTAATTATGCTGATAATTTTAAATTGACCAATCAAAAAATGTAAACGTATTTTTATACATAGAGGATCAGTGTTGATATATATACATTGTATTGTATGACGAAAATTATCATAAATGATACAATTCGTTTTAATTTAATTTTCTTATATTATTGAATTAAACTTTATTTAATACTTAGTATAATCAAATTTGATCTTGCCCATGCATTTTCATGTGTAAAAGAGTAATAGTATTACTACAAGAAATATCATTATTGATGAGTGTTATCGATCAATAGTTAACTAAAAATTAATAAGTATTTTGAATTGAATTTTTGGATGCTTAGTTAAGATAGATATGTACGTTTGTCGTGGGAAGATTCGGACAGAAAGAAAATGAGGAATAATGCAAGAATTTGATAGTGTAATAGCTTAGACTAATGTGTACCTTAGTATTTATGACGATAGTCTATATCTTGTGGGTTGTGCTATTTTTCATCCCCCTCATTGGATCTGATACAAAGTTATTTATAGTAATTGTAGCCCGAAAACTGTTCATCGGGTGGTACAACACACATTTGATTGATTGGACAGTTGCATTTAATGTGTTGTGCTACCCTACGAGCCTAGGATTGACTGGTCGACATGTTAGCTGGCGGAGATATGATTTCCCATCATTAGGCTGCAAGTTGCCTTTATTTTATTGCCTTCTGCTCAGCCTGCAAGTCCAGCTGGGGTTAATGTCCTTGTTTTGGTTTTAGCCTTGCTGCCTCTTGCTGCTTGGTTATTTTTTTTGTCTGATGGCCGGTCTGTGGACCCAGCACTTCTTACTGGATAAGGGCTACCTTTTTTTCTCTCTTATGGGCCTGTTTCTCAATTCGGGGGTCAACATGCAGGCCCCTGAGCTCAGATATGCCGCGGTTAGTGGCTTTTATGAGGTCGTACTCCAGACTCACTTTCGATTTGATCTGGGCCCTCAATCATGGTTGACGCATTTTTCAAGACAGGTCGCATCCCTAGGAGTTAATTATAACATCTGAAGGGTTTTTTCTATTTATGTGGGAGGCCACGATTTTCATAAATACCTAAAAATGCGTGCGGATGAACTTATGTTGGATGACGTGACCTCGATCGGTGTCGTTGATCGTGTTTTCCAAATTTATAAATTTGAAACTCACTCCACGCGGGTTTTTCTGATTGGTCGAAGATCTCCCTTTAAATGGGCCTTCTCACTCTTTCTTTTCTCATTTCTGCAATTTCGAACTCTCTTATGCAAATTCAAAGCTCTTAACGCAATCAATTGGAAAAAATCGCCGATTACTCTAGTATTTCTTCGCACACTTTGCTCTTCTGAGTTTTGCGGTATTACTTGATTTTGAATCTTTTATCTCTTTCCCTTAAAGTTTTTATTTTTTATTTTTTGTTTTTGAAAAAATGGCTGCTTCATCCTTGTCGGTGACTGAGAGCATGGATCTGGCCTTGGTCAAGACATCTTAAGGTTAGGAAAATGTCCAGTCTAGTGCTGAAGTAGAGAAATCATCGTCAATTCTGACCGGCTATTGGGGTCGGCCGTGTCAGAACCAACCCACCCAGTCTTACTTGGAGATTGGAAATATAGATAGCACGATTACTGGAGTGGACATCCTCAAGATGAGGAATGAGTTCTGGCTCCCACGAAGTGTGAAGATGTTTCCTCCCTATCCGGACGAGTGCCTTCATAGCCCTCAAGAGGGCAGCATCGGGATATTTAAGTACAGTCTTGCGTTCAGGTTGAGGTTTCCACTGCCTAGGATTTTAACCGAGTACAATAGAGATTGGGGTCTTGAGTTCATCCAAACCCACCCCAACATTTGGGCTAGGATCATTAGCCTCCTGGTCCTCTGCCGTCAGAGTGGATGGACATTTTCGACCACCGAGGAGATAATGAGTTTATTCTTATTCTTGAGACCCTGAAAGGATTAAAACAGTTGGAGCTTCACTATCTTGTCCCGACCACATTTATTACCTGTTCGAGTAAGTTTCTTTTTATCTTCGCTTCCATTTTCTAATCGGTTGTTTATCTTCTGTACAAACAGGTTGGCTTGTCATCTTTGTTGAGAAGGAGGGCGCCCGGGCCGTGCCAGCGTTTAGCGAGAGTCTCGTGGTGAAACTGCAGTTATTGCTCGAATTGAGAGTGCCAGGTCGACATTGGAAGAAACTTGGCACCAACGACTTCCTCCGGTCCAGCGGGTTGTGTTCGCCCCCAAACTCGTTCGATCACCAAGTTGGTCGGTAACTTTTTTCTTTATGTTCTTTTATCTCAGCCCGGGTTTTCTTGTGATGCTGCGATTCTAATCTTTGTTTGTATACTGAATATTCTTCTACCTGCTCATTGGATTCAGAGGCTTCTACACCCTCGAAGTGGCTTTACAGCACGAGCGCCACCATCCCNACGAGCTGCTATGGATCGTACCACTTACATTCGTCGATAGATGACAACAAGGATGGAGAGATCAGATAGGGTCGCTGAGTCCGTGCAGCAAGCTCCCTCGATCACGCCCGAATTCCCTCAATAGTTTCGAGAATCACTGAGTCCTAGGAAGAACAGACCCCAGCCCACGAAGTCCCTATCGCTCTGGTCTCTTCTCTGCTCAACCAGAACGAGACTATGTTGTTCTCCTCGCCAGAGAAGGTAGTGAACCCTGAGAAGAAAAAGACAAAGAAATGAGCCCCACTCAATCAACTCAAGAGAGGCCCAACCAAAAAGCCTCAGTCGGATGGAACCTTAGAGGGGGAAAAAATGCCCCCATCCATCAAGATGGGGCCACTACCTTCCTCCCGTTAGACCTGGAGAAGGAGAAGGAGGTGGCCGAGGCAATTGGAGTAGAACCCGGATGGTATTCTTAGTTTAAGACTGTGGATCCTCCCGAACTGCCCAACGAGTTCCACTTTCCCGAGAACATGGTGGATGATGCTCAAGACTGTTCCTAGTTTTATGCGTGTGGAATTATTATTTTGGAGACTAAAGAACTTAGTGTGTTTCTAGGCTACAGTAGGGACCATAATGATGTGCTAAATATGGGCTTCAAGTGTGAACACAACTAGTGGGTCCATATCCAACTTTGCGTTCACACTTGAATAATAGATCATTCCACTAAAGTAATATTATTAACTCCCCATTTAGCTCTGACTTATAACTAATTCGTCTCCTGGCTAATTGTTCGATTTACCTCCATATGTTTATGATAATGTCCATTGATTAATTTAATTACCGACAAGATAAGTAATCAACTTCTATATTGGGCAATATAATTTTTGTGTATGGGAGCAAGACATAATAGATAAGAATTAGATAACTCGAGTTTGCAGAATTCTATGTTCCAACTATTATGGCCTCGCTTACGTGTTCATTTATGTTTGTTTTTAAAGCCTCGGACATATCGAAAATTGTTTTTGGGTTGGTGAATGTTTGTGATCGATTATGATATGGGACATTATACTAGACCGGTTTTAATACCAGACCGGCTTTGATGGATAACAAGGAATATATTGGAGAATAATTCTACACATGGGTTAGTACACGTGGCATGATGACATTGGTCAGGCCCAACTTGGGCCCTAAGGTACACTCCCCCTATAAAAAGGGGCTACGGTATCTCATTAACACATTCTCTCTACATTACTCTCATTTTGCACTCTTGATTTGGAGCGAGTGCTGACCTAGGCATCGGAGGCCCAACGCCGGAACCCCCCGGCATTGGGTTCTTGCAGGTACGGAGGCCGTTCGAGTTGATGGAGCCCGAGTGAAATCTATTTCACTAACAGATTAAATTATGACGGGTTGTCATATAGATTTACTGTTTTCTAGACAAACATGTAAGACCTCTACATGGATCGTATGATAAAAATATTTAAATGTTGTTTTTCTTTTTTCGAGGAGCACGAATGAACATTAAATAAAGATGACAACTAGACCACCTCAATAGGCAGCCAAGCAGTCGGGCGATCGCTGTTAGGCAGCGCAGAGCGCCGCACGAGTACCCTTGCGTAGGCCTCTAACAACTTGTTTTCGACGAGGCCTACACGCAAAGCTCGCAGGATTGGCACTAGAAGCTCTTGGAAGACAATCAAGGTAGGGCCAGCACGCAGGATAACGGAGCATGGTGGACCAAACGCGAACGTACGACAGGGCAACGGGGCATGGTGAAAATTATAAGATCTCAGGGACATGTTCCACTAGGAAACGAGATATGGACAAGATCTCTTTCCTAGTCGTAAAATTGCATAGACAAGAAGACAACCTTCATATAAAGGAGGTTCCCTAGTTGTTTTTAGGTTATCGCATAGTACATATTTTAATAAACATAAAATTCACAGTCAATATATGACGTGGGAGTTGGAGGACTTACCGCCCTCTCGGTGTAATTTGCAGGTCATTGGAACTCTGTGCGTGATTTTACTTGCCCACAAGCCGGTCTAAATAATTTGTGCGTATCAGGAACCCGCGGGCTTCACACGACAGCGCAGACGTCCCAGAGAATCTGATGGACAGGCGCGGCTTGAGCGAGCCAGGGCGAAGGAAGCCAAACTGAGCTGCTGCTCTACGAGATGAGAAAATTCGTGCGCATTACTGATATCCTCGAGTCCTACCTCAGGGGCCAGTATGCAGAGCAGCGGGACCGGTTCGTGCGCCCCCAATCCAGCTTGTCAGCGATTTTGGTACCCTCGAAATTGCTTACTACTTTAGCCTTTTCTTCTATTAATTGGTGGTTAAAAAAAAAAAATTTGAGTAGGGTTTTGCTAGTACTTGGTGCATAATGTTGTTACTGTTGTGGTGAATATCTGGTGATTGCATGACATAATTTTGTGAATTATACGGTGCTGATGGTTTTTGAAGGTGCGAATCCTGTTTTTGGTTATTAATGGCGTTGATAAGCTTGAAAGATGGATTATTTATCTTTTGTTGGTTAGTGATTAATTTGAACGATATGCACCATCATCCACTAGGAGCCAAAGCTAAAAAATAAAGACAAGTATAAAAAAAAAAAGAGAAATGCTACAAGTAGATAACATTGTACATAGAGGTGTACATAACACTCACATTAAGTGGGTTCGATAAAAAATAAAAAATCAAGTGAACCCCACTCACATGGAGTTATGTATACCTCTATGTACATTTATTATGTACTTGTAGCATTTTTCTAGAAAAAATACTCATATATACTAGCAAGAAGAAAATGAAATTATTACAAGCCTTTGTCATGATTTAATCAATCAATAAAAAGTAAAATAAGCATGATCATGTATGATCTAGGCAGTACATTATCCATCGACTACCGCATCCTGCTGTTGGTTCTTCTTTCTCTTGACGACAACAAAACACCTGAGTGCTTCTAATAAAAGGGTTTGGTTTTACGAGCTAGACTACCAGGGCACTATTTTGGCTCACTTTCCCTTGAGTCTAGTTAAATATTGAATGCACATGCCCATTATGGTATTATGGATTTACATTAAGAGTAATAACTCAGGTTTCGTTCATTTACATGGTCAAGGAACGTAATCACTATGGTCCGTTCAATGCACTTTACGTGAACTACTGTAATTCACTAGTTAAATAAACTAATTCCAAATTACACTAAGATCGTTCACGATAGATTGTTCAATTTTCTCTATGTTATGAACAAAAATTATATTTTACAAAGAACCAATAATACGATCTTTTGTTTAACGCAATAAACCATATTATCTATGATGTAAAATAACATAACAATTTGCATTACTATTTATCGTAAATGAAATGCAAATAGATGAATCTTGATTGTCATTCAAAATTAAGAATTGTTTTAAACTAAAGCAAAACTTTCAATATACAATCAACAGAATGAAATGAGTAGAAATATGTGTTTTAGCAATCATTTTCAGTAAAGAGTTTTGTTGCAAGCAGCTCGCTAAAAACCTCTCTCGTCGCCCCCAAAAAACCTTGCTCTTCCCGTCGCTACTCTCTTAAATCGACGCCTCTCTCTTGGCTTCCGGCCTCTCCGCTAGTTCCCCCCTCGCCGCCCGGCCCTTCCTGATGCCGCGACCAAGCTTGCCTCTGGAGTCAATGGTCCTTGTGGTGCCAATTTCGTTTTCTCTAGAAATTGGGTTAGGATTCGCCATATCCGACCACTTTGGTCCTGAGGAGAGACCTTGAGTCGCGGAGCTTTAGGTCAGGGTCGGGTGCGGCCTCGGCGGTCCATCTTCTCAGGTTGGATGTCTTGGGTTTATCAGGCGGTCTTCTCCCTCTCCCCGAATTCGACTTCGACGGCGTGCTTTCCGGTCACTGTGGGGTGCAGGAGCCGTCGGACTGCTTCGATCTTTTTCGTCGGCGGATTGGTGTGTGAAGGCGGTGAGCTTTTGGTCGACGATTGGTCGATTTCTGGTCTCGATTGAGGGTGAGTTTCCTTCTAGCCGCTCCTGTCTCGGTTTTCTTTACCTGGCAGTGTTCGATGGTTAGAAGGTTGGGCTCTTGAGTGGCTCAGGTTCTTTTGGCTTTCGAGATGGTGGGGCTGAGGCTGCGGTATTGAGACAGCTCCTTTCCTCCGATTCCCTGTGTTTGGGTTTCGGGGTTCTCGGTTCTTCTGAGCCCGCTAGTGGATTTAGGGGGCTTGGTGGGCTGTGTTGGGAGTTTCTTGGTATTTCTGGTATGGGGGAGAATTGACTTTAGGTGGGACTCGTGGTTTGAGTTGCGATTCAACTAGGCTTAATTGCAGTGGAGGGGTCGTTTATCTCAAGCGGTGGGTGTCCCCTGGGTTGATTTGGTGGCTGCTAGTCTGGTTAGGAGTTGTTGTAGAGGGAGGGCTTGTGATTGTGTGTTTTTTAGTTGTTTTTTTGCTGGTTTTTCTGTCTGTGTTTGTTTTAGTGTCTGTGATAATGTTTTAGGTTTGGGCCGTTGGCCTCTGTGCGCCCGGGTGTCAAATTTATTACTCTGTGGGGGTCCGACACTCAGGTATTACTCTGTTGGGGTCTTGTTTAGTTTTTGTTTGTGTATTTGGTTTAGTGTGGTTGTGTTTTTTTGTGTGTTTCCCGAGTATTACCCTGTTGGGGTCGGCTCTAGCGATCTCTGGATCTGCCTCCCAGTTTTCTAGTCTTTGGTTGTACTATTCAGCCTTTGGTCGCTTTCTCTTCGCACTTTGTGCGGTTTTTATTAATATAGTACCTCTATCGTTTTGGAAAAAAAAAAATAAATAGCAATCATTGCCAGTGAGTTAACGAATTTTGGGGTAGAGATTTTGGTTTTCTACTTGAAGTAACAACAAATAGACAATAGAGATCGAGGGAAATAGCATTTTAAGCAAAAAATGGCTTCAAATAGTGGAGTTTAGTTGCTTAGAGAGCGAGGGAAATAGCATTTTAAGCAAATAAATGGCTTCAAATAGTGGAGCTCAGTAGCCATGGTATCAAACAGATTGCATGTACTGTTAATCAAGGCTCCATAAGAACATTTGAATAGTAGGGTTATGTTACTTACTCATCCCATAAAGACTTAAAAACATTATAATATTGGATGATAGACATAGAATCCTGATCAGTAGTCTCAATGACTTCTTTAGCTGAAAAACCATATGCCCACTATTTAAAGCATATCTCATTTTGATTTCATCTCAAACATCTTTCACCGATGCAAAAAATAGTAAAAAGTGGTGAATTTCCTTAAAACAATAGTACAATAACAAACAAAAATATTCACTCGCATCCATGAGAACGACAGGCATCTCTCGGACAAATAATTGTTTCCGATAAATAGATCGGCAACTAATAAGGCACTTGGATTGTCTCCAACGTGTACAATAACAACAAAAATATTCACTCGCATCCATGAGTCTCTGGTTTAGTACTCAATCTGGGGTTCTATCTTTTGTGCGGTCACCTCCGGGTGTCGAGCCATGGAGTGTTGCAGATTGTTTTGCTGGCGAGGGAAGGTTGTTATTATAGTATTGTTAGTGTTAGTGTTGGTGTTTTGAGTAGCGTTGTTGGTTGTTTGTTAGTTTTTGTTTTAGTTTTCTTCTTCTTCGAAGTTTGATTCTTCATTTGTGGGAGTGTATAGTTTATTTGTGTCGTGAGTGTGTAAGTGTAGTTATCTAAGCTACCCTTGTGTAGGTCTCCCAAAAATTCAGTTCCATGGTTATTTGGCTATTCCTAGTTGTATCTAGGTGTAATTATTTGTTTTTATCAATCTACTCTATCGTTTTGAA